GGGGGAGGGGGGGGGCCAGGAAGGTGAAATACAGAAGACTACTCAGAGTACATACTGGATCAGCATTTTATCTTGACAGACCAACTCAATTCGTTGCATGCATGCAACCAGCCATGTAGAGTGTCACACAGGCACACGCGTTGCATGCATCCAACCAACCATGTACAGTGCCACACAGGCACACGCAGACAATGTAGACAGCACAGCACAGAATGTCCTTCGCAGAACTCAATATACCAAGAAAATGCCCTGGAGATATGCTAACATGCCTGGCCCCGCCCCCCAGCAGGGGCAGGAAAGAAACCTTTATACACCAAACTTAGGAGAACTAGCTGGCTTTCATGCCTGAAAAGATTGGAAAACTCCACCATTTGCTCTGCAGAGGTTTCTGTTTCCTTGTGGTCAAGGCAAAGGAATGACAGCCATGGCAAGAGCAGGAAGAGCTCAGGAGGGAAGGCTTACCTGGCAGGGGTTTGCCAAGTGCTTCCGGCCTCTGCAGCCTTGCGAGTTAGTTAGGCGGTTAGGGGACTTGCCCAGGTGCACCACTGGTAGGCTGCAGAGAACGGGATTCAACCACGAACAACTGACTCGTAACCCTGCAAGAACTAGCTACACTAATACAGAGAGAAGTTCGATTCGATTTGCTAGTTTACCAGCTGGGTTAAGACTTCAAGATCTGGGCCGTGTGTTACTGAATGCTCACACTTTACAGAACTTATCCTTAAGAACTCAACTGTGAGAACATACCCGAAACATGTGCCACCTGAGTGTAGAGCTACTGTAATTTTGGAATGTTAGATTAAAAGTGTTTGGAAAACTGTAATCTCAGCACTTGGGAGCCAGAGGCAGGCAGAGTTTGAGGCTAGCCTGGTGTACTTAGTGAGTTTCAGGGCAGCCAGAGCTACAAAGTAAGAAGATATCTAATAATAATAATAATAATGATAATAATAATAATAATAATAATTAGAGACTGTAGGTTATGCAGAACCTGCCCTGTAAGTAAGGGGGAAAGCTCTCGGTCCAAAGGAAACAGCTCACTGTAAGTGAACTGGAGCACAGTGCAAACACAAACACAAACACACTCAAGTGGGACTCCAGCAGTGGAAGACCAGGGCTGAGAGAAAAGACAGCAGGTGAAAGAACCTCGGAATAGCTTTAGAATCAGGATAGAGCGTTCTGGAAGCACTTTCAAGGAAGTGTCGGCATGGCTAAAACAAGTGAGAAGCAGAGTTCTAGAGAAGCATTAGCATTAAGTCAGCGGACCACTGTAGAGGTGTGGGCAGGCCAGAGTCCCAGAACTCAAAATTCTGCCAGTGGTAATATGTGCAGCCTGCGAGGCCACTCTGACAAGCAGATGCACTGGCATGCAGGCGGCATCCCTGGATTCTCAGGGGTCCATTTCTCAAGATAGAAGAGTTGAATTTATGGTATAATTTTAGGTCTAAAAATAATACAAAACATGTTTTCACAAGAGATTGTCAGTGCCGGATAGTTCTAAGCTTGGAAGTGCTAATGGCTATCCTTATGACGGGAAAAATTTAGGCAAAAATGAGTCATCTCCGCTGTCTTTAGATCCAGGAAGAACAAGCTGGTTTTTTTCCCTTCAGGGACTCCGAGTAAGAATGTGGCACGGGTTCAAGCAGTAGTAATTCATGCACTGCTTCAACTCAACACCTCCTGCTGCATTAATGCAGGGAGGAGGGAGGACGAGCCCGTCTTTGCTGATGTGGCACCATGGTGGAGGAACAAGCCAAAAACAAGGCTTGATTGTTAGTCCTGCTCTTGGACATACTGAAGCGGAGCCAACTGCTCAGACTTCTACGGTGGTGTGAGGCCTCAACCTTCCCAGCTATCCCCTGACACAATGACACGACGTCACTGTGCTGACACTGAGGGAGAGAGAGAGCAAGCAGGCCCTTGGTCTTCAGAGAGCTCCCCTGGGGACTGAGATGGGTGCTTCTTACCGTGGTCCAAGATACAAAACACACTGCTCTTCCCTCTGCATCTTCTCCAGGGCTTTGTCAATTCCAATTGGAATGTCGTGGTCTTCTCCTTCACCAACAACGAACACCACATCTCTGCAATCAAACAGCCTTCCACCACAGCAGCCTTCCAGGTGGACTGAGGGCAAGGAGACAGGACAGTCACAAGCCGCTCCCCAGCATGGCCTGGCAACTGAATGGCCAACGGTGTGGCAACACCACTTCCCCTCTTGTCCACAGACACATGAAGTGTCTTCTAGAAGCTTTGCCCACCTAGTCTGAAAGTTCAAGACCAAGAGCATTTTTTCTAGTTTAGGTTAAATGAATACTTACTAATTTTCTTACCTGTGACACAGGGTCAAGACATACTGGCTTATTTAAACACACAATTATGAGAATGCCACACATCTAGTCTTGATTAAATACAATGGCTTAACTATTTATAACAGTATCTTGGCTTCAGATGCTTGGGCAAAAATAAATCAACAAATAATAATGCCCAGGACTGAATGTTATTTCTCCAATAATACATTCATGTTAAATGATCACTTTTTTTTGAGGCAGTCTCTTTTTATGTAGCTCAGGCGGGCCTGGAACTCTTATTTTCCTGCGCCTGCATTCCAAGTGCTGCATTATTATATTATTATAGGCACGCAACACATCTTGCTCTAATTATTTTGTATGGTGATGGGGATTGAATCCAGGGACTTGTGCATACAAGGCAAGCAACCCACCACTGAGTTACATCCTAGCCCCAATTAGTTTTAACGCTAATGTTACATACGCCTTTTCAACTAGGTCTTTTACTCAGTAAGAAAAATGAACGGCTTGTGAGACAGTACAATAGTCACCATGATTTCTCTTTGATAATCTAGTAATTTCCCAAGGATGCTTAACTGGGTAAGTAACTTGCTTTATAGAGTCTCGAGAAACCACCCTCTCTTAAACATTAATTCCATGTCCTATGACAACTATCATCTTCTATTCCAACTCACTCCACTTTTACTATCTGACCTCAACAGTCTGCTGAAAGCCCATGATTCTGTTTCAACCTGGAAACTAGCTTTAAAGCCAATTCCGGTGGTTAATCTTGATCAGTCACCTGTAGCCTAGGCCTGAGGACTGAGTGAAGCTCTGGAGGGTAAAGAGCAGTGAGGCAGAGACAGCAGGGCCTCAGTCACCAGAGTCATGACATAAAGGACGGACACCATCCCGGCTGCTCACAATTCTGTCAACCAAAACCCTGAGTCAGTTCCTTCAAAACAAGGGCTACAGCGAGCCTGGATCTCAGGACGTGGCACAAAGCCTCTTGTTTTATATTCCACACTTGTTAGTATGTATGAGGCCTTCTATATTATAACCACTTCTGGAATGTTCTAGATAAATAACAGCTTACTTGCAGACCCCCACCCCCGCCCCCGCCCCAGTGCATGCATAACATGGGGAAAAAACCAGGTTGAGTACAGTATAAGAAGTATTCAGCTGGGCAGTAGTGAGTACTGCCAGCAGCCTCTTCTATTGTAAAAATAGATTTAACTTTGTTTTAAAATATATGACCATCAGAGGTTTGGGAGCACATTTGAGGCTTACAGTGTTTCTTCTGGAGTAAAAGGTGATGTTTCTAAAGGGACTGAGTTCTCAGACGGTTAGGCATCTAATCCGAGCCTGGACTCAGGCCTGTAACCCTACCCACTCAAAAGGCTGAGGCAGGAGAATCATACATCTGTGGCCTAGGTCACAATACACAATAAAGGGGGGTAGGGAGAGAACTTGGTGGCAGAGTACCTTCCTAGCATGTACCAAGTGTGAGGCTCAACCCCCAGAACCACAATCAATCAACGGAACTTAGACTAATGGACGGTCCTTTTCATGAGAGAGCGGCTGAGCACAGGGGCTCTCGCCCATGCACTAGGTAACAGCGTCTCTAGTGTTGAGATTTATCATCCTAGTCGCTCACAACTTGACAGATTTTGGGGGGAGGGAATTCTGAAGTTTATTGTTAGTTGATTGCAGATTACTTTCCTCCTGAAGTCAGTGTCTTTAGCAGGGAGGAGACTACCAGTACATTTGTTGTGGCTTTTGGTCGATCAAGTCTGAATGTGTTTTCAAAACAGGAAATCCAGAGACTCCTGCAAAGGATCCTCAATTATCTGTCAGTTTCCTAGATTGATTTGCAGCATGAAATGTGTTTGAAATTACTAAATAATTTCAGAAGTTCTCTTCCCGCGTGCAGGAAAGGAGAATGTAGAAAGCAAGCAAAGAGTAAGCCGAAGTCACACTGTAACAAAGGCACAGTTAGGAAAGCCAGCCGAGGCTGCAGAGACGCTCAGTGCCTAAGGGCACTTGCTGCTCTTGCCAAGGACCTGGGATTCAATTCCTAGCACCTCATAACTGTCGGTAACTCTGGTTCCTGGGTATGCAAAGCCATCTTTTGGTCTCTGTGGGCACTGCATACATGTGGTACATAAGCATACATTCAGGCACACACACACACACACACACACACACACGTATACATATAAAATAAAATCTAAAAAGGAAACAAAAGGTGGTTAATTTACGCATGTGTGTGTGTGAGTATGAGCTCTATGTGTACAGGTATCCACAGAGGCCAGAAGAGGGCATCAGACCCCCTGAAGCTGGAGTCCAGCACAGGTGCTGGGAACCACCCTGCCTCTGGAGGAGCAGCAGTGAGCACAAGGTAGCTCAGCAGATAGAGGTGTCTCTCTCCGCCTGACGAACCGAGCTCATTCCCTGGGCCTCGGGGGGTGGAAGAAGAGAATCAGTTCCCACAAGCTGTCCTCTCTCATCTATACAGGCACACCCACACACATAATAATAAACACAAATGTAATTCAACATCTTAATGACATTCCCATAGACACCTCCTCACATATCTATGCACATCACCTTGTAACATGATCAAGTTTGGAATGTCAGAGATAATGTAGGATCAGAGCAGGGTGAACACAGCCCATGAGTCTCCATCTATAAGGAGAAAGGTTCTCACTGGCTGGACTAGCTGGTTCTGAACACTGCTAGGACAAGTCCTACAAGGTCGCTGACAAGAACTCACCACTAGGGCTCTGGGAAGGCTGCTGCTACACAGTAAGACTCGCTTGGAGGTGATCTATGCAGAGGCACCCAGTTCCTATGAAGCCCATTTCTTCTGCTCTGTCTCTGGAAGACCTGTGGGTGCTTTTGACTTTGTATTCTATAGTACAAATACACACTTAATAAATATTTAATAAAAGCCATCATGACTCACTCGGGAGCTCAGCCTCTAGGGCTCGGGAGGTCTGTTGCTAATCTCATCCAGCATGATTTACAGGAAGTAAATGATCTATGACGTGCTCCAAGTGAACAGAAGTACATACAGGATGCTTCTACTTAGGGCTTTTTTGGTAAGCAAGTTAAAAAGAGACAATATTTTCTCTTGACTGAAAGTCTATGTAACCTGGAAGGGGGGTGCTTCAACAAACCCCACAGAGTCAAACCAAACAAAATTACCCAAGTTTAGCTGCGCAATCCAGAGTGTAACCACATCAAGTGAGCCCGGTCACTGCAAAACATCATTTCAACTGGAGCTCTGACTTATTGTTCTCTTACTGCCCTAGAGCAATTTTGTTTTGAAGAGCACAGAACACCCTGTTCTGAATGTGGCTGGCACATGAACTCAATGTGCTGACAGCAATTTGTTCTCTGATTAAAATGGGGGGGGGGGCCGCACAGCAGTAACAAAAACTGGAATGCAAGAACCCCCAAACCATACAGCTTGTATTTCAGGAAGTAAAACCGAGGAGAAGGCTGCTTAACTTTAAAAAAAAGTGCTGTAAACGCCACAGCCTAAGCCGTTAGCTCGGTGAGCGTCTGCTTTCCCTTTTCTAATTATAGTAGCTGGTGTCTGATAGCTTTGCACTCCTTCCCAAAACAATGACTGGGTCATGGGGATCTGAATGGGAATGCTGTAATGGCATCACTACTAGAAAAGACTGGTCATCTGGCTAAAGAAAACCAGGTTATGACAGGTCGCTCCCATTCGGCAAGGCTCTACTGCCTAATTCATGTGGAAAGGGCTTCTCTGGGTCCCTTTCCTGACAGAGCAGGGTTTCCAAGAGAATGGATGTTAAACCCCAAGAAAGCAACCAGAGACAGGTTTCTAAAAGCAGCAAGGCACACTGATCACAAGGACATGGTTCCTATCAGGCGTGGTGGTCAGGTTTCCCCAGATTGCCTCCCTTTCTGCTCTCTTCCAGGGGAGGACAGCACTGTGAGACAGACACTCCCCCCAGCAGGCATGGAACTTGACTACTGGGATGGGAGAGATCTACAATCTCACCACGGTCCCCTTCACAACAGTGTAGAACTGGAGCAGGCCTGGATACTAATCAGTCCCGTTCCGCCAACTAACAACTCTGGCTACAGGCCGTTCAGTGTCTTCATCTACGGAGGGTGACACCGGTTAACTTTAACTGTAGGATAAGCAGAAACAAGAGGCTCACTGCCCGACTGAGTAGACAGGGCCACATAAAGAGTCGGAGGGCGATCAGAGCACCTAGTGAGACCTGGTCTCAAGCAAACCACCACCACTAACAGAAGGAAATTAAATTACAAAAAATTAAGTACTCAGGAGCCTGTTGATACAATTCAGTAGTAAAGTGTCTACTCAGTGTTCTCAAAACACTGGGTATAATTCTCAACACTGCACAATAAAGAACTAAAAACGTGGAGTGACAGAGCAGCAAGTGCAATTTTGGGAAGTCTGATGGTTACTCAACTCAAGAGACGGAGAGGCAGGAGGACCAGCCTTAGGACAGGAGACCTCGTCTCCAAAGAAAGCCAAGGGGCTGGACAGATGGCTTGGCTATTAGATGAGCTTGGAGAGGACCTGGGTTCGGTTCCTATGACTCACATGGTGGCTCACAATTATCCATAACTCCAGTTCCAGTGGTACCCACTCCTGACCTCTTTAGGCACCAGACATGCATGTGGTACACAGACATACATGCAGACAAAACACACACATGCATAAAAACAAATTTTTTTTTACAATGTAAAAGAAAACAAAACAATTAGGTGCTAAATTAAAGCATCTGAACAGAACTGACATTCATTCACACATAAAGTGTCTACCATAAG